CGCAGTGTAATTTATTAATTTATTTTACGAATATTTGATTGCGATACGGAATACGGAATTCGTAAATACATCAATCTCTAAATAAAAATAAATCATAAAATTCGTACTAATTTACTCGCGATTCTGCAATATCAAGGGTTTGACATAAAAGAATCAAGAATTTTTCTCTTAATTTCAATAAAACAATATAATATAATTTAATTAATACGAAAAAATAATTTATCTTTAATAAAATGACGCACGTTATAAGAATAAATTACTATCACACGTATAATTATAAAAATGCTAGCGTTCTTTATTCAATAAATTAGATAAATTTACAAATTGAAAACAAATGTTTTCTATAATCTTTCTTCTTTAATTTAGACTTTAATTTACTTTTGCAATAGATGCAATGCATATCAAAAAACTAATTAAAAGTTATTCAATTTGATCTATTTTAGCTCATCCATTTAAAAGTAACGGATTTATCTACAATCTACAATCTACAATCTACATCTACAATCTCTACAAATCCGTTACTTTAAAATTAAATAAAAATTTGTTACTCACCGGCACTGATGCGCAGCAGCGGAGTTGTTGGTCTTGAGGCTACGTTGTCTGTAACATACAAATATAAAATACAAATTATAACAGCGCCCAAAATATAATTAATATTTCAAAAACATTATTATTTTACATGTAAAATTTTATATCCGATGCGTATGATAATAATTTTATAAATTCTAAAAAAACTGTTTTTTTCTAATAATAAAAACATTTATTGGATTTAAAAATAAAAGTCTTTCTTTCTAATTTACTCTTGTTTAATTCATTCAAATAATGAGACCTAATTAATGCGCGTACGCGATTTTTACTAAACAGAATACAAATAATAAATACTCACCCTTGGGTCGCTCCGCTGGTGCAAGATGCCTTTCCTAGGCCTCCTCCTCCTCTCAAAATGTCAGGGTCGCTACGTTGATCTGTAACATACAAATAGAAGATTCAAATTGTAGCAGCGCTCAAAATAATTCATATTTCAAAAAATTTATTATACGCATTGAATTTTATATTCGATGCATATAATAATAAGTAGATAAATAAAGTAATTTTATAAATTTTGAGAAAAAACTACTAATAACTCTAATAATTTCATATAAAGTCAATCTAAAAGTAGAAACTTTTACACAAAATTATAGCTTTTATATAAAATCTTTTTCTCTAATTCTCTCTTGTTTAAATCATATAAATAATAAATAAAATTGCTATTACGCGGTTAATTGCTTAATTTAAATTGCACGTACGCAATTAATAAATAATTAATATACAAATAAAAAATTACTTACCACAAAGTTGTTCCACCG